GTTAATGAAAAAAAAAAAACCTTTCGATTATCTTGAATTTTATTTAGCAACTATATATTTTGAATGTTTGAAAAATATCACATACAACAGATGATGAACTGAAATTTTAAATGAGAATAAATTATGAATTTAAAAAAAAAATCATAAAAATTTCACATTTAAAATGTTTATTATGTGATAGTCATGATATTCTAGGTCTACATTTTGACTTGTCTGTTTGGTTTATGGTCTAGTCATATCTTCTTTTTTTAAAATTGCATACAAAAAACCTGTTATACAGGCACAGTTAGACTACACATGTACATGAATGTTATTTTCATGGTGCTAAGTTTAGGAAAAAATAAAATATGAAATGAAACATATACTTTAACATTATGACCGTATAGGCCAATGATTTTAAAAAAAAATAATTATAACACGCCGGACGGAAGTCGCGATCCCCGGCGGGTCTCCCGATCACTGTTAGTAGGAAAATTAAAACACTTATTATATTTTTTCTTTAATTCTTCTGGAAGCCCAATTTCTTTACATATGTTCGCAAAATAAGTACTTTCCTACGTTTAATTACGATCTGTTTGTTTACATTAATTTTTAAAATGGTAATGATAATCGTAATTTACTTTGTGCAATGAGCTCGGGATATATGGAATGCCGATCTCGATTATTTTTCTCCATTAAAATACATATCATTAAAATGAATACCATAACTATATCTGATTTTTTTCTGGTTACAAGTATTCCTTTCTTTTTTCGTTTTGTCAAATTAATTCCTAAATATTAAAAAACTGAGAGTTGCAGGATAGGATAGGATAGGATTAGACTGAAATCACAGGATAGGATTGTGGATGCAGGATTCACGATAGGATAGGATAGAATTGTCAACTTATAGGATAGCAGTACTGTAAACAAGTTTTAACATTTTCTTTGCGGTATGTATAGCAATTATGGGTCTTAATTAATAATTTTGCATAGAAACCTCCATACGTAGCCTTAACTCACTTGCGAAATTCGCCCACCTGTAAGTAGAGCGACAGGGGCGAAAATAAAAGGGGGCGAAAATTTCCCTGTTTACAGTATTTCTTGATTTTCAATTCCTAATTGAATGCAACCGTTCAATATCAACCGCACCACTGTAAAAAAAATCGCCTTGTTAAATGTTCAACGGTTATATTTATGATGGATATTTACAGTTGGTAAGTTTTGTCTGTATCAACTCAATATTGAACTTATTAATTAACCATTCAGTACCTACGAGCGTACATGACTGTATAAGGTTTCATAAGGTTATACTAACGCTTTGTATGGTCATGAGAATGATGTCTTAACGAAGATTTCTGGGACATACTCTGATATTGCACAGTTTAAATGTCAATATCGGCACAAAAAACTCCCATTGATTTCAAGTTATTTTTATTTGAATCATCAATATAAATCCGTGGAAAATGTTTTAGGCCGTAAAATAAACGAATTGATCTTGAACTTACGAAATGATGACTTTAAACGGGACTGCTGATATTCTTGTTTCTTCAACTTGCTTGTCAATAATATACCTACTTTTAGATATTGTTCATACGTAGGGCATGCTGAGATCAACTGAGATATAAACACTTCGAATGCAGGTGATGAATTGCTGCATAAGTAAGGGAAGTTGACGATAGAAAAGTTAGTAATCACGTTTATCATATAGTTTGGTTGTTAGATTGCCATTAACGTCTTTTTGAAGTAAAATATCCAAGTATGAAATAAATGTGTCAGACTCTGTGGTATCTTTTATCTCAAGCTCACAAGAATATATCGTATCGACGAAGGAATGGACATTACCATTGTTAATTGACAATACGTAGTAGATATATCTAAATATCGAGTTGAAGGCCACAGCAAGTATTTTCAATTTTTCACGCATAAGATTTTGCATAAATTCTACTTCATATGAATAAAAAAGAGGTCTGCTAGTAACGGAGCGCAATTGGTACCCATGGGAAATCCAATAGATTGTTGGAAGACCTGGTCTCCAAAAATAACCTAGATATTGTAAATCAGAACTTCAAGCATCTCTTTGATGTCAGTTTAAGAGTTGCAAATGACCAATGATCAGATTATTCGACGAGTTTCATTTTTATTGAAAAAGCAGCTGTCAATAATATATAAAAAGTCTAAACAAATGTAATAGCAAATATTTACCAGAATAGATAAAAAAAATGGATTTTCAAAGCAACAAATTAAAATAATTTGATATAATATTGTCTAATATCTATCGTAAAAGACAGTTTTCAGCTTCAATTCATTACATACTTTACTATGAATAGTGAATTCTTTGATACTTTGATTAACGTTGAAACTAAAATAAGGTGCCTTTTGGAGATTTAAAAATGTTATATACGTGTAAATCACACAGAATTGATACGTTAGCATACATGTTTTTGTTGAAGCGTGATATAGATCAATTATCTGGGCTTCTCTGTATATATATTGATATGCAAGACTATAAACAAAATGGTTTTTGAATCCAGAATTACATGATGAACTTAATGAGATTAAATGTTCACAAAAAAGTCCCACGGGCATTTGAGTTGACATGAGTATCATGGAACAATCCAACAATTGAATTTGGTAAGTGTTTTAAACAAAGGCCATGAGATTTACATTGAAAGAGGCACCATTGCTCATTATAACCAAGCACTTAGCATGCTTAAAGTTTAATTACTTTATACCCAGGGGCAGATTAGGTGAACAAAGAAGAAAATGCGTTAATCAGTAATGTTCAGTAGTGCTCTACCTTTACAGAAACGCCTGATACATGTATTTGGGTCATATTTATCAAATAGATTTTTGAAAAGGCACCCTTGCTCTTTATAAATGTTTGTTTAATACCAAGGGGCAGATTTTGAAGCATAAATTCATTTTCAGTATTTTATAATTAGAGCCTCTTGTCAGGTATCCTTGACCGTTCGGCCTTGAAATTCATAAAAGAAAAAGGATCCTTGTTTTTTCATAACTGCATACTTAGATCATAAGCATAAGTCAGGTACATAGAAGAGTTTCCAAGAATTAATGTAGATTTAGTATACAATCATTAAAGCACCACCCTAACACCAGAACCCCTGACCCAAGGGCCATAGAAATCACAATTTTGGATGAGGCATTTTCCCTAATTATATCTCAATGAAACCTCACTGGTTAAATACCCTGAAGCAGAGAGGATGATTTTCAAATCACTATAAAACCATTAGATCCCCACCCTATACCTGAACCACTCACCTAGGGACCATGAATTTCTCAATCATCGTAGAGAGCTCAAAACTGATTACAATCATGCTCACAGTTTGGGTGTTTGATGAGCAGGAGTTAAAATGAAGATTTTTAAAGATTGTATTTATTGTTATTGTTTTAGTCCCAGTCCTCAGGCCCCAAGGGGGTACAGTGTAAGGATCATTTAATTCACAAATTCTGCTCTCCTTTACCAATAACTGCTTTATGCCAAAATTGGTGGAAATTGGTTCAGTGGTTTCAGAGAAGACACAGAAAATGCAACGTCAGTAATAGGTCATCTAATTAATTAATGATTCAAGACATAATTGTCACTTATGTGTTTAATACTGCAATTCAAGAAATCTGTTTTTGAAATACTGAGTATAAGTTTTACTGTGAAGAAATATTGGTGCAAGTAACATGGTTTTTCAAATTCATTGAAATACCATAAATATTTCAATTTTTTTCTCTTCCAGTAATATAATCTTCTTTATTAAATAATACTTTCGGTGACAAAATATGCCCATTCTTTCGCCAGATATTTTGCCGACCACAATTTACTCAAAATTTACTGTATATTTCGTCGCTCATTCAATACAGAAAGAGACATATCGCCATACACTGTTGCCAGTGTCAATATGAACAAATGGACAATTACATGTTCAGTGAAGGTTAGTTATTTTGTTGCCTCTGACAATACATACAGAACGATAAAATTTAATGCTACATCAGATGATTACACAGACACCGTAGCTGTATCCTTTTTCCACGTGATGAAATGTCAAGCTATGTCCTAGCAAAGGATGACCACAAATCTTTAAAAAGCGTAACCTATTTATGTACACGAAAATGTCATTATACAATAAAATTTTCAAAGAACCTCATTTTTTCAGACATTAACAACAACACTTTTTTGCAGTAATTAAATACTTGAAATGACGTCACACAAATGACGTAATTTAAAATTTCTATGATTTAGACAGAAAAAGATTATATATTACGTCGATAATTTTTAAAATTGTGAAAGTCACCAAGCGCAGGTCTGATCAGGCTCAATATTTTGATATAATGTGTAGAATAATAATATAAATGAAATATTGTGGCGGGGGTCCTCCCTGTCACTGGCACTGGTTAATAATGACGATTGTTTTTATTTACATCGTTTATTTACATATTTACAACACAATATATATTTATAAGAAAGCACAATGTTCACAATAAAAAGACACGTCCACACTCATTGACTTTCAGACTTGTTCTCCCTCTCACACACGTGTTCCCAGGGCATGGCCATACCAAATCTCTTTTTCCCACTTTCTCACACAAATCAATCTAATGCTCACTTTCATCTCTCAGAACTCTATCACGCACAATAAACAACGATAACAGAAATGACAAATAAACAAATTATAATTCCTTCCTTACTCACTCTCTTTCTCTCTAACAAGCTAAAATCACACTCTTGGGATACAGGGCTGCAACGCCTGCGCCGCGCACCTGCAACCTATCACTCACTCATTTACAATTAATTAGCAAAATCGGGCTATTGCTCTGTGACAATATGTAAATATTGTTCCTGAGCAAACTTGCGCTCTTTTAATTTTAAAGATAAAATTTTGAAATTTTGTCCATTTTGATATAAAATTGGACTAGTTTGTGGCGTCATTAAAACAAAAATTGTCAATAAACTACTTTGAAACTATATGTTCCGTTAATTTATATTTGTCATGCAATTTATAGAATTCAGCACATTTCAAGAATTAAAAAAAAAAAAAGACTTTTGTGGGGGAAAAGACATGCAGTATAACGCATATTATTCTTTGTTCAAGACATAAAACATCTTATTTTATCTCTTTACATCATAATTGTCTTCAGTTAAACGCCTGCTTCTTTTTGCAAGTCATCTAATTCTGTTTGAAGCTTCCCTTTACTTAATCGCTTTATCGCCTACGTAAAAAAATGATATACACGTATTATATAATAATCGTTCAGAGGACTAAATAATACTGATTTAAAATTGTTATCTTATATGATAGTGATAGATTCTTAGAAATTCACATCTAAAACGTACTTTGATTAAAAAAAAATAATTGATTTTATTCATTTGAGTATTAAAGAGTTTCATTTTCACGAATTGTTGTTTTTATTTAAAGACTTTTTACTATTTCTTTTTCCTTGAATTTTAAGCTCAATTAAGATTATTTAATTTATTATCTTATGATTATAAACAATTTAAAAATAAAAAAAAGATAGATATTACCTGTGAGATTTCCATCCAGTACATTTTAAAAACATCCTTCTCTACAACAGTGTCTGATCCTTCATGATTTAACATGTTTCTGAGAAGCCGTATTCTTTCTAAGTCGTCAGTCTCCTTGATGTTTTTAAACTCTGGTTTCTTTCCCCAACCTTGGCTTGGTACAGGTACATCGTCACCATAGTTTCTAAGCAGTTTGTACATTATCGTAATGTCAAACATAGAAGATGAAGGGTCACTGCCGTCACCTTAAATGCAAAGTACTGTTTTAATACACATCAATCGTTTTACATACTACTATGACTTATGCTTTAAATAAAGTAAACACAATCATATGCATTTTACTCACTGATTATTATGAGTTTACAGAACCTAGAATTTTGAAAATTTTCTCTATGTTTAGCTTTCTGTCGTTTGTTATATAAGTACATTATTTATCAATTTCACTGAATAGTTAATTTATTAGTCTTTCTTTTATAGCAGCATAAATATATGCATTAGGAAAAGTGAATGAAATAATTTGCAATCAGTTTTATAAGATATGCGTTTTTAAAGTAACATATTTATAAAAAAGTAGTTTCTTAATCTCTTGACAAATACTTCACAAGCACAAAATATGAACAAACCAGGAAACAGAATCGACATCTGTTGTTCCGCAAATCTGCAAGGGTCTTTTTTCATATCATCCTTAAAGGTCATGAGCTGTATTAGATCTTGTTGAGACATTTTATCGTCAAAGTAAATTTGAAATGCATCTCGAGAAAGTTTCATCAACTTGTCAAGTAGCATCCCATGATGTTTTTTCAACTCTTCGTCAGTCATATGGATATTTACATTCCCAGAGGTCTGTTTGTCTATATCTGTATTTTCAAATGGTAAGAACATGCTAACAACAAATCCATACTTACGTAATCAAAATTGTTATAAAAATGTTGAATACATGTACATGTTAAAGAATTTATCAATATAACTAATCAAATATTCTTAGGTCGTTTGTAAAAGTCCGGATTTATTTATTAAGACTAATAGTCTAGTATCCTTAGTTTTGATTATTTGGGGGAGGGGGTGATTTTTTAATACAGAAATATGTTATCGAAAGCAAACAAGTGAACTAGAATGCAACATAACTGAATACATTTGACACCTTCAGATTTCTTATTGTACATGTAAAATTATAACACCTCAAAGACTAAAAGTTAGATACAATCCCCTTTCACAAGGACAAAGATGATATGAAATTCATTTCTACATTACTTGCTGTATGTACCTACATATATATATATATATATATATATATATATATATATATATATATATATATATATATATATACCTTCATGGCCTTAGATATGATTTCACAGAAAACAGAAGTTTCGGATTACGATTCTGCATAACGCAGCACTGTTAAGGCCTACTATGAAAAATCAACGGAAAATAGACGTGCAAAAAGGGGAATGTTTTTAAAATTGAATTTATTTTAATTAAGCTGTTTTATTATCACAGAACTTAAATACTTTTGGAAATAGCATAGTATATCCCACTCTGTATTGTATGAAGTTTGGTCCCATCGATGGACAGTCACGTGATGAATGCATAAGTACGTGTACCGAATGTAAGTCATTAAGAAATTTCAATATCGCAAGGACATACCCTAGTTAAAATTAAAAATTTACTCTATTAATTGTTTCTGCATACTTCGTAGTTTTTGAAAAGTGCTGCTGCTTTGAATCGAATTTGCGTTTTATTAATTTAATTTTCAGGTAAATAAGCCAATGTCGAAATATGTTTGAGTTTTACCAAATATCTTATGTACTTATAAAATCACGCCCTCGATTTAAAGAAAGCAGCAGCACTTTTCAAGTTAAGAAAAATATCTTTTATCTATATTCAAAAAAGGGCTAAGATCTATTCAGTGTATGCACTTGCAAAAGTACGATTTTATGAGGCATTTCGATGTAAAATATACGTAACCTGTACAAAAAATACGACATAATTAATAAAATACATTCTCTTGATAGTTAATGAATAATCGCACTAAACAAAGGATATACATTGGTATTAATCGGCTATTTGAAACCTGTAAATAATATTCCGTTTAATAATAAAACGCATTTTCATTGTTAAAAAATTCCTCAATCTGCCTCTCACAGCACATGGAATACGTCATTTTTACCAAGATGACGTCATGTTTACAAGTTCATCGCGATCAGTGCTTTATTTATAATCAGCAACATGGGATTTTATCAGCAAGTTTTTTTTAACGCATTGATAAGTTTTATTGTTGTTTATTATGCTACGACAGTTAAAAGTTGCAAATAATTTCATTTTCAAGTATTATGAGAAATACATAAAAGTCATATTTTTTGTGTGACATCACAGTAAACTTTTCCCGTATAAATAAGGCCCAGTCCCCTTTTTCAAGCCTTAACAATGCTGCGAAATATTTAAGAGATACTTCTGATAAGGTTCTTTTAGATGAATTAAAGAAGTCTCCCTCTCATCTTCTCTAGAATTCTAAATATTAGAAACAATTTATTAACAAAAAATTGCTACCCCATCATTACAAATTCCCAAAGATAAGATCAGCTGAATTGACAATAATGCTTGCTAGACGTAGTTTTTGTTTTAATGTTTTCCTTTTTAATAATATAAAAGTTAACCCTATAAGAAATATAAAGTCTCATAAAAACGAACCTGCATGATCAACGTTTTCATGTACCCTTTGCATTGTTTTACGGAAGGATTCTAAACAGTTTTCGGATCATATGAATTTTGCAACTTATATTTGGATAAATGTACTTTATATTGAAATGTTAGTATTTGAAAGACCGTATTTTTCTTTCATTTTCATTTTTTATTAACTTAACATACAAATAGTCACGTGATTAGAAAATAAAAAGGGATTATATTTTTGGCGGAATGGCTGCGTAGGAGATACATGTATCACGCTATTTGGTAATTAAATCTAGAAAGTTATGAATTTAGTTTTTTTGAACAAAATTTCCTAGGATTTCCTGAACAGGATGAAACAAAACATAGGGTTTAATGTTTTCAAACACATCAACAAAATACAATTTTGTAATCAATTTTCACCTATCCTGAGCAAGTCTCTATATGAGTGAAAATTCTCGAGAGAGACGTTCAACAGTGAAAATCAATCAATCTATCATGAGCTTTTGTATTTTCTCAATATATTAATATGCTGAGTGAAAAATCAGTAAATTTTTTCTTTCGCTTGTGAACATATATATATATATATATATATATATATATATATATATATATATATATATATATATATATATATATATATATATATATATATATATATATATATATATGTGTGTGTGTGTGTGTGTGTGTGTGTAAGACTCCAAGGTCCGATGGTCACGCCAAAGTCCGATGGTCACGCCAAACCCCGATGGTCTGCGCCAAACCCTGATGGCTCCTTGTCTTTAAGGGCGCCAAAGTCCGATGGTCACGCCAAAGTCCGATGGCTCGTTTCCAGTGAGACGCGTGACGCTAAAGTGCGATGGTTTGAAGCGCCAAAGTCCGATGGTGCGGAGGAACAATTAACGTTTATGACGTCACAATAGTCAGACGTCATGACGTTATTCTGCATTCAAAATTAATTGATTGAGTATTCGTCTCACATACGTTTTTACGGATATTGCTTTTTGTTTTCATCCACCAGAGGTATTAGGGTTAGTCCTCGTACACCATTGGAGTGATAAGGGTTAGTCCTTGAACAGTAAGGTACTTCTTCGAACCCACCCGAGAGACTATAGGGTTAGTCCTCGCACACTGTTGGGCTGATTTAGATTAGTCCTGTACCCACCTATGATAGTTAGGTTAGTGTTGATACTCATTGTTCGACTGATAAGTCTTAGTTTCGCACTTATACATCCAAAAGACAAGGGTAAGTCTTTGTATTTATATTTTGTAATACATTTATGTATTGGCATGCCGTGGCATCGAATTCTTATGCAGCAGTGCTATGACGTCATAGACGTTAATTGTTTTCTGTGCCATCGGACTTTGGCGTGTCAAACCATCGGGGTTTGGCGCAGACCATCGGACTTTGGCGTGACCATCGGACTTGGGAGTCCTATCGTACTTTGGAGTCCTACATATATATATATATATATCCAAAATTTAAATAATGTCTCAGTAATCGGATAACAATATTTAAAAAAAGGTAAGGTTTTCTTTTTTACCTTTTTTTAAATATATATATATATATATATATATATATATATATATATATATATATATAGAAAGCACAAAGAAATTCACTTTTACATGGATACCCACTTCCGCCCCAGCCCGGGGTTGAACTCTCGACCTACGGAATCTGTCTCCTAGCAGTGCAGGAACAGCGCGTTAGACCGCTCGGCTATCTAGGCAAGTTAAAAACTTGCTTTCGACGCCGATGGAATTCTCACAACGCTGCCCTACACTACACGGTCATTGAGAATAGAAGTGAGATACAGTTATTTGGACATTAGTTTTTTTAGAGGATTGTTACCAATACATGTTGTGATGAAATTAATTTATTTATAAAGCACAATTTACAACAACTCTGAAACTAATATAACTGCCCTAAGTGAAGAAATATTAATATAGAAAGCACAAAGAAATTCACTTTTACATGGATACCCACTTCCGCCCCAGCCCGGGGTTGAACTCTCGACCTACGGAATCTGTCTCCTAGCAGTGCAGGAACAGCGCGTTAGACCGCTCGGCTATCTAGGCAAGTTAAAATCTTGCTTTCGACGCCGATGGAATTCTCACAACGCTGCCCTACACTACACGGTCATTGAGAATAGAAGTGAGATACAGTTATTTGGACATTAGTTTTTTTAGAGGATTGTTACCAATACATGTTGTGATGAAATTAATTTATTTATAAAGCACAATTTACAACAACTCTGAAACTAATATAACTGCCCTAAGTGAAGAAATATTAATATAGAAAGCACAAAGAAATTCACTTTTACATGGATACCCACTTCTGCCCCAGCCCGGGGTTGAACTCTCGACCTACGGAATCTGTCTCCTAGCAGTGCAGGAACAGCGAATTGAATTTCTTTGTGCTTTCTATATTAATATTTCTTCACTTAGGGCAGTTATATTAGTTTCAGAGTTGTTGTAAATTGTGCTTTATATATTTATATATATATATATATATATATATATATATATATATATATATATATATATATATATATATATATATATATAATTTTGAAATGCAATAAAAATGAAAAGAATCCTTGATTAAAATGATTCATTTTCAATCTATGATAATAATTTTAAAAACTGCAAGTTTACAGGTATTATGATAAAAATCAACAGAGGAAAAAATAATTTTGCATAATAGTATATAAATAAGAAATACCCGTATTCCCAACATGATGATTTATTATTTACAGTTATTTAGAAGGCAAGATTAAAATACTTATTATTGAAAATATACAGAGAGAAGTCTGAAATTAATTGAACCAAGACTTACCAATCCTTACTTGTTCTTTCATCTCGATTAACCTTTCAGTTTCAAAGTCATTCTCTTGTTTCTATTATAACATAAATAATAAACAACATTTTTAGTTGTAAAAATTAACAATACTTCAGACCTTTTCTCTTTCTTTTCCAATTATATAATAAAGGAACCAGACTGGGGGACATAATATGAGAAAGGAGATAAAACCATTATAAGAATTACAGATGATTTTCATCTCATACGATATTTTTTCTACGTTTTCTTGTATGCTCACAAATAGATTGGGCGCATATGGATATAATAAGGAAATTTTCTTCAGATAGGTAGAAGTTTATAAATTAAATGTCCATAACTGAACCCTAATAATTTGCATTAATTGTAATGACAGCTCCACGGATGTGTTAAGAATACCGATAGGTGATAAATTTATAGTATTTAGCGATTCAAATCGTGTTGAAGAGGATTCTTTTGAACGGAAGAAGATTTAAAGTGATCAAAACTGATCATATTCATGGAAAGACGTGCACCCTTCATACTTTTATTGTCGGCCACTTACTTATAATGTCTTAGAAATAAGATGAAATCATCTTGCATGAGAAAAAATATTTATTTCGGACAAATCATATAATTTAAATCTTCAAGTATATTTAATAGAATGGGGTCCATTAAGGAGGCTGGGGGTTCAACAAATTAACCACAAATTAACCACCAGATTTAACTTAATTTTTTAGATATGATATCTTAAGTTGTCAACTATTATTTGGCAAAGAAAAAATTCAAAAATTTTAGGTTTAAAATTTTATCATTTTCTATATATTGATATAGAACTCTTCTTCAAAAGGAGATCAAAATAGTCTAAAAACGGCCACCCCCCCCCCCCCCAAACTCTTTAAACTTAGACGAGCTCACTTTTGATCTCAGTGTCTCTTTTTCACTATATTTTCCTTTGGTAAAAGTAAAAGTTTTATGGTCCCTAGGCCAGAAGGTTCATTCGATATTCAAAATCAAATACACTGAATACAAAATTTAAATTACAAGTTTTGAAATTCAAAGTCTCTGTGTTTTCGTTGTTAACAGAGTGCAAGTTAAAATCGCCATTCAAGATTTATTATGATCTGACAATTTGGTGATATCGGGACGGCTGTATGTCTGACGTACATGTACAAACGTCTTTTCAACAGTTTCCAATCGAGTTTTTGGTTACTTAAATAATTGTTAAATATTAGATCATGAAATGACACCTACTAAACTCCCTAAATCTTTACGAACCTTTATTTTTGACTTAATATTTCACCTTTAAAAATAACGTTTATTCGCTAGTACTTTATTTCTGCGTTATTACGCGAGTCTTTCTGCTTGCGAAAATTTTATTCTCATGTATATTTCCTTTACTAACGATAATAAAAAATTATTTCTTCCTGATGATAAAAGAAGTCCCTCTTGCAAAAACAAAGTATCATAAATTTTTGGTGATCTTCTGCATTGTTAATTGGGTCTTCGTATAGAAATATTGCTCATAATCACCCTAAGCTTGAAAATGAATAAGTAAACTAAATTTATGTAAGTTTAATGAGAAAATAAACATGTAAGTTTGGGAAATTCATAAAACATAGTAAGGTTCAATGGGTATGGTATTTTCTTTCGATATTGTTTATAAGGAATTTTTACCTGTCTGGTGATGCCCTCTACCGTAGAATTCCTCGTCTCTCTTGAAAGGCACCCTAATCTCAGACCAAAGTCTTTATTCTACAAAGATGTGATAACTATACATATATATAATCCAATAAAAAGTCTCAGTGGTCGGAATTAAATACTTAAAATAAAAAAGAAAAACACGAAAAACTTCAGTAAAGCTTAAGGCCTTTCATTCTATCTTCAGAAGCTTTACAAAAAAAGAAAAATGTATACAATTCGAAATAAAAACCTAACCAAAATTTCTTGTGATCTCAAATATGAATCTCTCTCTTTGGAGTAAACGCAAGATAATTTAACTTACCCAATGTTTGACCATTTTACTCCAATGTATATAGTGTGTTTCAGTATGGTAATCACATTCGCGTCCTTCTTCAAGCTTTGAAAAGGCTACTGCATCCTTCTCTAAAATAAATTGCCCTTCACATTCCTGCGTTATATTGTCATTCTCCGAACAACTGAATCCTACTTCATAATTCACGGCTCTGTGAAATGTACTTACAACAGATCTTATGATATTTTCGACAGTATTTCGAACTTTGTACGTATCAGCGGGACGCAGAGATCTTGAAGTACTATTGCTGTATACTAATAACTGTATCGCTGTTTTATTTACGCCGATTACAATGACATTTCCCCTTTGTTTGTGTTCTAGCAAAACAATGTTTTTGAATAATTGAATTTTGCCATCTATTTCTAGGTATTTCCATTTGTGCATACAAGCAACGACAACTCTTTGGAAAAAGAAATGATGCAGGCAATGCTTGAATAGGAAATGCAAGACTGATGTCTTGTGCTGTTTTGAAGATATTCTCTCAAGTTGTGAAATATCTATATCCTTTTTGTTGACACACGGAATGTAATGAAAGATTTCTCCAGTGGCTAGAAGGCCTAGACGTTCCATGTATTTTAATAAATAGCCACTATTTTCTTGCAGATCTTTATCGTCATGAGAATCCCAGAACTGTTGCAGAATTTCATAAGGCAGCTTTCCTGATTGGTAGAACTCATCCATATCTTTTGTAGTTTCGAAACAGTCCTCGAGAGTTAGAGTTTTTGTGTTTGAATTATTTGAAGCTTTTGCTACGTCTACTTGGTTTTTATCCATGGTTAATGATTTGAATGCATCAATAAACCACTGGACATCTAGAATGGCTACCTCATTTAAGTTCGTTTCATTGAAAAAGAGAATATATCCAATTTCATGAAAGAACTGTAGCATGTCACGAATTTTAATCATATCCTTTGATACTTCTACTCGTAGTTTAACCTTTAACTGAAACCAACAATGACGAAATAGATCAAGACATCCATCAATATCTTCAGAAAGCTCTAAATTGAATCTGTCTTTTATTTGTGACACACGCATGACTTTTTCTCTGTTTTGTTCTAATTCTTTTTCAACGGTTAACCAAAACGATGGGATAAATTCCCCCCAGTGTGAGTAGGACTTCTCTTCATTATTTGACGTTAAGAGGTCAATTAGACGATCCTGAATTTTTAATATCTTTTCGTTGTCCTTAGGAGCCGCTTCAACTTCAAAGTACCTCTCTGTAGACAAATGTTTCATCAGATTTTGAGTTTTGGGAAAAGAATGTAGAATTTCGTCGTAAAAGCTCTTTTCCGATTTCTAAATCAAAATATAAAGCACAGTTGAGAATCTAATAAGTACACACATCTAAATGACTGAATAATTTATACATTTTTATTTTTCTTGGAATTAATTAATGGAAAGAAAAAAATTTTAAAATACAAGTAGATACCGATATATAATTTCAATTATTTTTCACTTAAGTAGACTAAAAATGTTTTTGCTGTAAAATTAACTTCGTCATAATTCTTAGCACCAACTATCTCTATATATAACACACAATTATCAACCCTTTCAAATAGTCTGCCCTTTGACGTTATTAGATTTGATAAAAACTCACTCTTTACCTTGATAAGTCTTGAATATAAGCTTGTTAATATGTAATCAATATATTTTGGTGTTAATGTTAACCCTCTTGGAGGCCTTATTCTTCAATTTTGTTTTGTTTGAAGCCGATCATTTCAAAGTGAAATAGCAAAACCACAACACTTACACCAATTCATTCCAATACATGCAAAAAATGTTTTGCCTTTGAAAACCGACAAGGTTTATATACGAGTTCTGAATTCTGACAGTTCGTTAAATAAAAAAAAACGGATTTACAATATAAAATGCTCGACAGGCAATGACTTAGATTTACCTGAAGTTTGTCCTTGTGTGTTGCCACCAGAACTACTGGCATCTCCTCTCCGCAGTATGTACGAATGCTCTGAAGCCAAAAACTAATATAATCTGTAAAAATTATAATCAGTCAATTTCTGATCAAGAGTTTTGTCAAATACATTATATAGTGTACAAAAAAGAGATTCCTTGTTCATTTCAAATGAATAATTCCATTACATTAATTCACTAACTATTAGACTAAACTGTAAATAATTTGGTATTCAAAGACATACTTCGTACCTCCGTATTTCCAGTCTGCAAAGATTGTTCCATCAGCGTCACAGACATGTTGACCAACCTTTTCTTCCATAGATTTTGACATGTCTGTGACTAATAAATAAATTGCCCTCTTTGTCAAATAAACTTGATGACATGCGTAATATGCACTTTGTCCGGCAAAGTCCATCACAGTCATCATTTTGTCTCTGCTGCTTGAAGATGACAAAGAAGCTGCATCTGCTGTGAAAAATGATACAAACAGGTACAATATACAGGTAAATTTGTTAAAAAGAAACCCCCACTTATTTGGTATTATGTATTTTTTATGTATTGTTATACCTTCTATCAATTTTATGTATAAAAGATACCACAAAATCTGACATTTCTGTTTCATACTTGGATATTTTACTGAAAAAAGACACTAATGGTAATCAAACAACCAAGCTATATGAAAAAAAGGTGATGACTTTAACTTTTCTATCGTCAACTTCCCTTACTTATGCAGCAATATACCTTCATCACCTGCATACATAGTATATATATCTCAGTTGATTCGATACGCAAGAGCATGCTCTACGTATGAACAATTTCTAAAACGAGATAAATTATTGGAAAGCAAGTTGAATGAAACAAGAATATCAGCAGTCTCGTTTGAAGACATCATTTCGTAAGTTCTATGGTCGATACAATGACCTTGTCGGCAAATACTATTTATCATTGAGTCAAACGCTGACTGTCGTTTTTCATACGAATTGTTAATCCATTATTTAAACACTGAATTGACGACGGATTTTTCCGTTATTTCATGATCATGACAATGAGCACACGGCGGGTGTGACTGGTCTACAGGGGATGCTCACTCCTCCATGGCACCTGGTCCCACATCTGATGTTTTGGAGGTCCGATTTTCTCTGCTCTTGTTTTGTATTGTTTTATGGACTTCGAGATTTAATTCTGTTCGTGATCTCCATATCCTTCATGTAGTAACAAATAGTACCAAGATTGTTAGACACCAATATTACATCTCAATGAAATTATAGATACGATATAAATTTCTCTTGGTTTGCTAGCGATTTGTGAATGTATTTGAAAATAGTTACGAAGGGCAACACTCCAAATGGGTGTTTCAAAACACTTATTAATTTATTAAGCAAACCAATCGAAAAATACAAAAACTCAATTATACTATAGGTACACTCAAGCTTCTTACAGTACTGAATGGACACAGTCTGACAGAAAGCGAACCCGGAGCGCACTTGGTCCGCTTATGAATCGCTCTGGGTCCGCCAGGGCTGACCCCGAGCGAACTCGGAGCGCACCCAAAGCGCACCCAAAGCGAACCCCGAGAGAACCCAAAGCGGACCCAGACAGCGAACCCCAAATTCAGTAGGGGTTCCAGAAAGCTAACTCGCGTTCGTTATTTCTTTACATAGCTGTCAATCAGAATTAACGATTTACCAATCATCGCGTCGACCAATATTGATCAAAATGGCATATTGATCCGTCGATTGGGATCAAAGAACAAATCTGTTTAAAATCCAAACATTTTGCACTCAAGCAAAGCGTGTCAATGTACAGTGTATATTTAATATGATAATTACTTATGTTATATTTATTCATTTTAATTATCCGGTCTGTATGCTATATTTATATCATACTTTTTTCTTTATTTCTTTTTACTAAAGCAATAAATAAATTATATATATATTTATAATTTCCCAGGTAGAATGTTACACAAATATTAACCTTTGTATTTTCTTTATTTTTGTTATACCAGTATTTAATGTCCATCGACTAATACAAATTTGGTAAGTATATCAGTCTAAAGAAAATAAGATAATAATTGGTATTACAATTTTTAGTGAAAAAAAGAGGAGAAAAGAAAGATAGCTGCTTTATGACAAATTGTATAATTTTATTATCTGAAGATACAGTACAAGAATATATACGAGCCCATTATTCAATTATTTTATTTCTGTTATTGTCCCCCCGCTTTTGCAAAAGCGAGGGGACATTAATCTCATTCGTCTGTCCGTCTGTCGGTCTAGCTGTCTAGCTGTCCGTCCTCACATAAACTTTAACTTTGCCCATAATTTTTGATTAAGTGGAGCTATGACTTTCATTCTTAATGTGTGTTTCTTATGACAATACCTTTCTTTAATAACTACCAAATTTGGCGTTTTGACTTTAACCCACTTTTACACAAAAAATTCGAACTTTTTTTATCATAACTTTCGACATGTACATACTAGGACTTTCATATTTCACATATGTATTTTTTATGACAAGGCTTTTCATTGGATACCAACAACCTTGACCTATTGACTTTCACCTTGAAGATTTCTGTACTTGTAAAAAATCTTTAACCTCGGTCATTACTTTTGAATGCAATGCTAATGGATAGGGTTTTCATACTTCACATAGGTAATCCTTGTGAGAAGACCTTTCATTGTATACAAAGAACTTTGACCTTGACGTTTAACATATGATAGGGCGTTCGTATTTGAGACAATAAATCATAAAAAATGACATCTCACCCACAAAGACACGAAAGCGGAGGACCACAATTCTTTAAATTTGCTTGTTTCAATTTACATGTTCCTTTAAATTATTCAAAATTCACACCAAAATTATTGATCTTCTTAATTTGGCATGAAAAATTTTAATGTACGTGTACATGTACCACAACATTAAATATAATACATGAGGTGCATCTCAAAATAATGCTTACTATTATATCTATTTAAATCCTGTTAGAAATCATCATGGAGCGATGTTTCCTAAGTCAGAAAATCACAATGTTTTATGGGGTTGTAAGAAAAAAAAATATATCTGCGATGAGGAGTTATCTTTCTTCTAAATATTTCTTCATGTGAAAAAAAGTAATTCTAATTAAAATACTGTATTAAGTACTTGAAATATTAAACCTTTTTAAAATCGTACGTAAAAAATACAACTTATTCAATTTATAAGGCATTTGATGTTGGATTTAAACGTTTTATTGTTAAATTTAATAAAACAATTACAAAGAAATTTGCAAAAGAAATAGAAAGTAATGTTTCCATCATATGTATGATATGTATGATCTCATCAAATTGACTACTCAGAGGTCTCAGGAAACTGTGAGTAGTATTACTATTTTGTACTTTGAAAGTTATCTGTTTTATCAGAAGGTCTCTATCCCTTCGACAGTTATGAAGGCATCTCAGCAAGCGTGCAATAAAACGGTTGAAATTTCAAGTAAGTGTATTATCACTATATGACACTATATGACACCCCTTTTCCAAAATAAATAATTGAATAAATGTTGAATCAACTGTTTTTCAACACATAAACAACGTTGATTATCAATGTTGATTCAATGTTAAGACCTCAACGTTGATACAAATTTTCAAAATCTAACATAAAATCAATGTTGAATCAACATAGATAAACAACGTTGATTCAAAGTTTATTCAATGTTGTGTGTCTGCTGGGATGTTATTTGGATGGTTATTAATAATAATAAGTAATATGAAATGTTGTTGAATTAGGTATGATTTGTAATATTTTTTTATGAAACAAATCACTTAGACCTCTCCCCCATCCCAACCATTCTGCAACAAACTGCATGCAATGAAAGAAATCTTTAAGAAACCATCAACCTTGAAGAAAAATAATTTGGCAACTGAGAGCCACATTTATGTGGAATCAGTGAAGGTATAATTATTTACTTTATATGTGTTCAAGAATTTATCATGATTCTTTATATTTGTTGAAGGTCTTTTTCATGTGAATTCAGAAGTTTTCGGAATAAGAACAGTGTCATAAGACTAGTTTGTGCTTTCCAGAATATACGCACAAGATGGCAGAGTATGTTGTGCCTGTCAAGAGGAACTTCTTTGAGGAAGATGAGAGATGTGCAAAGGTATAATGGATCCATTTAAAATATAATTTTATAACATTTTTGTAGAAGTTTTCTCATTATATCACAAATAAAATATTTTTATCCATATGCCCTGAAAAACTGCTGAATCACACCGGATATAATCATATTTTACGGGAAGCAGTTATATTGCCCTCCCAAACACAGTTGTGTTCTTTCACGTGCCATCATACGGCATATCAAAAACGTCGGGTTGGCAATTGACAGGGCAGTTGCTAGGCAAACGTAAACAGTTCCGCAAAAATTAAAAAGTCCGGACAACGTCTGCAATTTGTTTATTTGAATTCAGAGCAATTAGTCTAAGATAATTTAATTGAGGAGAAAATTCCTTAAATACAGCAAAGGTTATCAACACAACACATTTTGCCATGAAACAGGACGGGATAATTCCGACGTATACGCTGTCGTTTTCACTCATTTTTCAAAATATAGGGTGACCTTTGAGTACCAAGCTTTTTTACCGTCAAACATTTCTTAAAAACAGTATAAACTACTCCCGATATGATGTCTATCAAATTTGCTATGTGTCTTAAAGTCAATCATACATCATCAAATTTTAGAGAGGTTGAGATCTTAAACTTGTACGCGTACGTGTACTTGTAGAAATTTTGACGTACACATACACGTTATTTTTAATTTGTCTGTTGAGATTTTTATGACGTGTAACATGTACTTGTACACTGCGATCGGTGTCTCTGTTTCAACTATTTAGAAAGTTTTTTGTCGTCAGTTTGTAAACAAAACTTGATAAAAATAAGTGCTCGTGAAAGTAAACATCCTATATAATGTATAACAATCACATTTTCACACTTAAATTGGCTATTTTTTATCATTAAAGCTACACGTTTTCACTTACGTGTAGATTCCATTCTACAAGTTTAACGAACGTGTAGCAATTTTGACGTCACTTAAATCGATGACGTAATACACACAGAATTTAGGTTATTCCCCTACTAGACGTACCCATACACGTACACGTTTGAAATCTCAACCTCTCTATTATTTGTTGAAATTTGGCGAACAGTACATAAGTTGTTATAATTTTTGTTGGCACAGACGGTACCCATTTTTGATGTCCATTATTTAATTTTTTATTATTGAAATCCACCTGCTCTTTTGTCCATAAAACAGGCATTGGTTGCTGTAAATGTCACATATTTCAGTGAATATTTCTTTGGGATTTTTAACAAGTTTTACGGCAGCTTTAATGAAGCTTTTATTTTCACTCTAGTTTACCGATTCTTTACCATTCATTTATAATGCAGTGTCTCATAAAGCTCTTGTTTCCCAGCTTCTCGCTATGAAACTATTTGAT